ACCGCTTAGCTAGCCGTGGACTCGCGATACATCACGGGTTCGACTCCATCGCCGGACGCGGCAGTTGAAATAATGTTGCGAATGTACAGGGTTTTTCTAAATTATTATTTTTCCAACACCACTGAGAATTTGCAACAACAGCACGAGAAATGTGCTGCTGCCTCCAGACTCTGGAGACCACCTTGAGAAGATTCCAGGCCACGTGCGTTGACAATTGACGGCGAACACGTGGAGAGACTTTTTGGCTTTTTGAAGCTATTGACATTACATTTGTTATCATGTCACAGTGGATTATCCGTTCCTTTTCGATTAAAAATGTAAGTCCAATGTAAGTATTCTTTGAGTCTTTCGGTAAATCCACGTGGACGATTGCTTACGTTGCGATCGAAACGTCGTGATTTTTTTTTATATCTAAGTGACTTTATCGAAATATGAATTCCTGCAGTCTCGAAAGCTCTAAGTCCCATCACGCCTTTTGGCGTCATCTGGTCGAGCACCAATTGGGTCGAGGCTCAAAAGAAAGCCATCCCTTGGTGTGGACCAATCAGTTTCAAGGACAATGCATATATTATCATAGTATGTTTTTTGTTTGCATTTTGACTGCAGGTATTGTGGTTAATGCAGACATGAATCCTCGTAAAAAGGTTTCAGTTTTGTTGCCAGAAAAAAAGGGGTGTAAAACTCTATTATTTTCCCATGCAAGTGTTAACATTCTTTTGAAACACCCTGTATCACATCCCCCCCCGCCACCCCGCGTCTGTCCACCCTGCAGGAGAGAGTGCAGCACAGCGGATGCAATTACAGTTGGTCAATGGGTAGGCCGGGCACGGTGAGGTCAATTGTGGGTGCACCCGTATCTTCAAGCGTGGGAGAGTCGACCAAATTATGATTTAAAGCTTTCGTGACTGCAGGGATTCATATTCTTGGTTCTTTCGGTAAAGTCACGTAGAAGGGAAACAATATTTTTTTTGATTATTTTATTGTTTCCCTTCTACGTGACTCTACCGAAAGAACCAAGAATATGAATCCAATATAAATAATAATAATAAAATAAAAATATATTTTTTATTACTTTATTGTTTCCCTTCTACGTTACTCTACCGAAAGAACCAAGAATAGAGTCGACCAAATGTTTATTTTCGAGTCGGCTCGAGTGGTCGGCAATTGGGTCGGCAGTGGCATGAGCAAGCGAGTGCCGGGCAGCGCATTTAGCTTTGCTTTATTAAAACCGGACACAGTGTACTGTATGTTGAACTTCTTTCGCACCGTATATGGCCAACCGTGCTAATAGAAGGTGCGGAGAAACGAGGGAATTGGAAACCCAGAGATGGAGTAGTTGTCGCTCACGGGGTAGAGCGACTCGCCTGTAATAATATGAATACAATTAAAACGATGCACTTGCAGTTTGTCGGGCTAGCTGTGATGAGCCGCGGTGGCTAGGAGCTGTTAACTACCTCGCCTGGTATACAGGAGGTCGTGGGTTAGATTCCGACCCTGACGCCTGCTGCTGTATATTTGGAGTTTGCGTGTCCCTCTCTCATCAGCATCACAGTGGCTATGAGATGTTAACTCCCTCGCCTGGTGTACAGGAGGTCGTGGGTTCGATCCCGACCCTGACGCATGCTGTATATTTGGAGTTTACGTGTCTCTCTCTCTCTCTCTCGTTATCATCACAGTGGCTAGGCTATGTTAACTACCTCTCCTGATATGTAGGAAGTCGAGGGTTCGGTTCCGACCCAGACGCCTGCTGCTGTATATTTGGAGTTTGCGTGTCTCTCTCTCTCTCGTTATCATCACAGTGGCTAGGAGATGTTAACTACCTCGCCTGGTTAGCAGGAGGTCTTGGGTTCGATCCCGATCGTGACGCTTGCTGCATATTTGGAGTTTACGTGTCTCTCTCTCTCTCGTTATCATCACAGTGGCTAGGAGATGTTAACTACCTCTCATGGTTAGCAGGAGGTCTTGGGTTCGATCCCGACCGTGACGCTTGCTGTATATTTGGAGTTTGCGTGTCTCTCTCGTCATCATTACAGTGGCTAGGAGATGTTAACTACCTCTCCTGATATGCAGGAGGTGGTGGGTTCGATCTCGACGCAGACGCCTGCTGCTGTATATTTGGAGTTTGCGTGTCCCTCTCTCTCATCAGCATCACGGTGGCTAGGAGATGTTAACTACCTCGCCTGGTAAGCAGGAGGTCTTGGGTTCGATCCCGACCCAGACGCCTGCTGCTGTATTTTTGGAGTTTGCGTGTCTCTCCTTCCGTGGTCGCATGGATTTTTTTCTCTATGTCCTCCGGTTTCCCCCTCCACATTTAGAATGAACATCACGCGTTTCGAGTAGTGCATTTGGCTGCTATAAAAGTGCACGTGATAAGCCACTTCGTTGAGCTATCATTTGTGGCCAGGTCGCTTCTGAAAAAGAGCTACACATAGCTCAGTGGGGCCTTACCTGGTACAACATATATATTTTTTAAAGTTTAAAAAGAGTCACTGACAATCACGGACCACAGCAGCTGAGAAGAGCAACCCGATCGCCTTCGGTGTTCGTCGCAAAGTCACGAGAACGCAGCATCGTTTAATATAATACAGAGCTGTACTCTTTTATTCGACAACAACAAAACGCTTCGCGATTCTTGAGGGAGGCGCTCCCGAGTGAGCTGAGCGCAGTTTTGTATAAACGTAAGAGTCCTCGTAATTGGTTAATGTGTTGGGGCTTTTTGTTGTGTGGACATTTTTTATTGTTGCAGGTTGGTCCATTTTTTTATTTTTATTTTTTTCCATGAGAGAGAGAGAAGCCCAGACACCAGCACACATTGCAAGAAAGGGGGGTTAGGTGCAGGGGTGCAGCCACACTCACAAGGTGGGGTGGGAAGGCTATGTATGTGTATGTGTGTTGAACTTCTTTCGCACCGTCACGTAGCCAACCGTGATCATCAGAGGCGGGGAGTCCTCGCCCATTGCCGGACGTGTCCCCGATGGTACTTGGTTAGATCGACTGTGCCACGGATAACGTGAGTCGTGGGCAGTAGTACCGCTGATAAGTGCAGTTCTCTTGTCCCATAATTATAATTACCGTATTGTGTGTATTATACACCCCCCCACCCCCGCCACACTCCCTGTATTTTAAAGCTAACGTTGGGGGTAGGCGTGCGTGCGTGTGAGCAAACAAGTCGAGTGTCGTGTCGCGTTACTGACACCGGGGCACACAATTTGGGACGTGTCTTCACTTTACAGAGCGTCTTATAATACGGAGAATACGGTTACGCATATTTTACAATCTACCACGCAATTGGCCACTTGCTCAGAACTCGAGCCCCGCTGTTCGTGAGCTCCTGTCCACTTACAAAAACTTCCCTCCGTTATCACGATCAGCACTTACGTCGCCTTACTGAAGCGCGATGAAGTGGTGACTGTGTGTTTTGTCTCTTAAATATACAGTATAAATATATATGTCCAGGAGCCTTAATTTTCTCGTTAAATATTTTCTGCAGCTCAGCTCCGGACGGCTCCAGGCTCAGATGAAGCCCTTTGCTATAACTAATAATAACAACAATAATATTGCGGATGGTGCTCAGGACACTCCAAATGTGTACGACACCGGCCACCGGCCTGGTTTGGTGTGGCTCATCGATTCACTTGCCCACGAGCATGCATCACGGACCCACTCACACCTACCAGATGCATTATCGCCGGGCGGGCATGAAACACTACAACCAGCGACGTCGATTAATCTATTAAAAAATATATATTTTTACAAGGAAGGCTCACTGAGCCATATAGCTATTTTTCGGAAGCTATATAGCTCTTTTTCACATTTGTATATATTATGTACATGATGAATATGCGTCAATTAAAGTGGGCTAAGTTCTACAGTCCTTTTGTCAATAAAACTGCTGGATGAAGGACTGCCCTACTCCGTAGGCAAGTCTGGACACATGTTACTCACGAAAGTTGCTTAATCACGTGACACCACGCTGATATGGGGGTGGAGAGGAGGAGTGGTGGCGCAGCGATTAGCACGCTGCGCTATGAACTCAGCTTACCTGAGTTTGATGTCCGGTCACAGCTAACATCGGTGGCGAATATCTGAACTGGTCTTGGGTATCCTCATTCACCGGCTCTGCACAGCGCGATGAAGTATGGTCAAATAAACCCACCCCCGTCCTTTCCTCCTGAGTGACGCAGTGTGAGCAGATATTCATCCAGCAGTAGATTGACAAGAGTACCGCAAATTCATGTTTATTTATTGTTTATAGTTACCGTATTGTACATATTTTTTCTACTGTTAACATGAGACAATAGCCCTCTCGGTGACAATTAAACTATATACAAAACAATTTCTTACAAAAAACCCACGGCTGCATGCATAGCATCATCGCTGGTCAATGATCACGGGGGTGCCGCGGTGGCGAGATGCTAATTCCCTCACCTGGTGTGCAGGAGGTTGTAGGTTCGATCCCGAACCTGACGCCTGTTTTGTATTCGGAGTTTGCGGTGTTCTCTCTCCCCCTGGCCGCGTGGTTTTTTTTTTCCTCCGGGTCCTCCGGCATTTCCCTCCACTTTTAGAATTAACATCGCCATGCGTTTAGAGTGTTTGCGGCTGCTATACATTTCCACGTGATAAGCCACTTCGTTGAGCTATCATTTGTGGGCAGATCGCTTTTGAAAAAAAAAACCTATATAGCTCAGTGGGCCTTACCTTGTAAAATAAAATTAGTTTGAGTAAAAAAATTGCGTATTTTTTTTATTAGGTTTGGAACTACACGGACCCCGAATACGAAATACAGGGCAGGATTTGTTGTTATGCAGTTATTGCTCGCGTAAGTGACGTGATCTTGTACACCATTCCACCTGTTTATAATTAGAATGCGTAAACATGCAATGGTACGCATGATTTAAATAACTAAAATCACAGTTAACATTAGTAATCGAATAAATAAATACATCGCAAAAATGCTTACTCAGTCCAGTCATTCCAGGTGAGCGGTTGTAACCTTTGAGTTCGATTAAAATCAGCCGATTTTATTTTTTATCCGGATACAAAACAATATCACCGTTAAATTTTACCCAGGAATCTAACGTGAAGTCTGCGAGTGATTGCGAGTGACCGTTACGTGCGTCATTTTTCGTTCGCCTCGACATCAGATTCTCGAAGAAGAAAAAAAATCCGCTGGCTTGTTCCTCCTGAATTGCACAGTGTGACAACATTAACACACTGGGCGAAGTCTCGAGGCTGAGTCACGTTTTTCTCCCCCCGCCCCTCCCCCCCCCCCTTACAAAAGGAACAATCAACATTTGGACGATTCACAGCCCTCTGTCAATCCACCCATGGACGAAGGCCTCCCCCACTCCACATCAATATAATGGGAATCGTTTGACCGCACTTCACCAGGTCAGTTAGTGCGCAGTTGGTGATTAAATCCGTGGCACGCGCGAGACCATTTCAGACATCGTCGCCTTAACCGTTGGCTGTGAATCGAACTCGGCAAGTCGCTTCGGTTCACAGCGCAGCGCGTGGGCCACTGTAACCACCGTTCCACCCCACGTGGGCAAAGAGAAACTTTGGCAATTTAACTAAGCCCCCCTCCCCCCCCCACACGCACCTGTCAGTATGGCTCCAGTTCCACGAAGGGAGGGGGTGGGGGCGCACACCACTTGCGGGGTTCGTGGCGTGCCGTCGACGAGCGAGTAAGGGGCTACATTCATATTTAATCAGTTCTCACCGGAGGACACAGCGCGTTCATTTATCTCGAATAAATGAATTTGTGGGGGGGGGGGGGGAGGGGGGCTGGGGGAGTTTGACTACGTCCACGTGTCGCGGTGGTGGTGGCGACGCGGTGTGGATCGTGGAGCCTCGAAAAGAATTGGGCTCCTGTCTCTTCCCCCTCCTCCTCCTCCCCCCACCACCACCCCCCTACCGCTCACTGCGAACGGGCCATTCTCCGGCTGTCAGGTGCGAAAGCCCTCTACGATGAGTACGGTGGGTACAGCCTTAAAGCATCATTTGACGGGCCAGAAATAAAAAAAAGAAGTGGAAGAAAGTTGGTCACAGTGATTGAATTTCACACACAAACACAAACGCGCACGCGCGCACCAAAAATGAAGTCAGCAGTTTTTGCACGCGATAAGTTCCCCTGACCTTCGTGGCTTGCTCAGGTTTGTCAGCAGAACGGAAGCATTTGTGTGTGTGTGTGAGAGAGAGAGAGAGGGAGGCTCTTGACACATTAGATCATGCTGTAAAAGAACCACTAATCTTGGCTCGCAATGACCTATGCAAATTGCATCTGGCCTTGGGCAAAAGCAATGTAACGAACACCACATATAATCCCGTTCATTGCGGTTGAGAGACAATAAATAATGAAGCCATGTTTGTGGACTTGCCCTTTCGCAGATGCCCAGCAAAGGGAGGCTTTCAAAATCGCGATGCTACCTTGTCGAATGTTTTTGCGAAGGATTTACATCCTGCTCTCCTCCGCATAAGTGCGCGGTTGTTAAATTGTCGTATCTTCCTCTTTGTGAGTGTAATTTTGAAACAGCTCGCTCTGCAATCACAGTTGAGTTGTTGTGCCATACTGTGTTTGTGTGTGTGTGTCACATACACATTTGAGGATGGCAGTGATTGTAATTCCGGGTGCTGCTAAAAATCAACAATCTCATCAATCACATTCAACCCGTGTTCACATTTCAGTGTTCAGATCGTCCGTTAATTTGCGTTTACTGCTTATGTGTGTTTTTTTCTCTCGAAATATAATTGCGAATAAAAAAAACCTCCACAAATAGTTCAGAATTGGCCTCCATTAAAATGTCATTTTTGTATATTTTTTAAATCTCGGGACATTTTTTGTCTTGTCACATTGCAGTCCATGATTGTCTTGAAGATTATTTTCTCCACTATTTTGTCCTGTACAGTACTTTGTGCTCAAGTAGCTTCCATCCGAGAGAGAGAGAGAGAACGTCCGTCTATTTTTAAATTAAATTATCAACTCGCAAGTCACACATCGCTCTAACACTCTAACGGTAGTCTCATCGTAAGGCAAGACCGCCTCACAATCTCACAGACGCCAGGCATATTCCTTCCCAAAAATATTCCCGCGTCGGCATTTCAGTCTCATAAGAGTTTAATATTCGCAGCACCCTGATACCTGTGACATATCGGAATGCTTAGGAGGCACGCTGGAGATTTTGCTGCTTTGTGCACTGAATGCTGGCGCCGTGCGCAAATGGCGTTGAAGACAAATGGCACTGAAGATGGCTATGGAAAGACGTAAGACAGCCGGATAGCCAGACATCCCGACACCCGGGGGGCTGGGCAGTCCGACAGCCAGAGAGCCGAACAGCTAAAGAGCTGGACAGCCAGGCAGCCGGACATCCAGACAGCCGGACAACTGAATAGCGGGACAACCGCATATCCAGACAACCGGACACCAAACATAGCTGGGCAGTCAGACAGCCAAACAGCCAGATATCTGGACAGCTAAACAGCCGGGCAGCTACACAGCATGACAGCCGAACAGCCAGACAGCTGAACAGCCGGGCAGCTATACAGCCAGACAACCGACCAGCCAGACAGCCGAACAGCCTGACAGTTGGGTGACTCCTACTGCTTGGGCGGGATGACCACCACGCAGGGCCCGCACTTGGGACGCCACATGAGCACCTGCGCGTCGTTGGCGCTCGGCCTCTCGAGCGCGTTGGTCGGGATGGGCTCGTTGCGCGGCAGAATCAGCGGCTGCTCCTGCCGCGCGGGGCCCACGAGGCGCGCGCGCTGCCCCAGCGGCCGCCAGGGCTCCACGTCGATGCGCAGCCGCACCCGCCAGCGCACGGTGCGCAGCACGAGGCGCTCGCGCGTGTCGGGGTTCAGCGCCACCAGCCACGTGGTGAACGTCTGGTCGCGGGTCACGCGGCTGAGCCACGGCGTCGGTGGCGCCGTGCCCGCGTCGCCGCCGCCGCCGCTGCCGCCGCCGTGAACCGGCACGGCCCATGTGACGCTGGGGTAGAAGTTGTCGTTCATGCTGATGTGCACGCGGATCGGCTTCCTGCTGCCGCTGCTGTTGTTGTTGCCGCTGCCGTTGCCACCGCCCCTGGGGGAAGCCGACATGCTCGCGGTCTCGGTGGTGTTGCCGTACCACGGGTAGCTCACGCCGTCCGAGTCTGAGATGGCCGAGACGTGCCCGTCACGCAGCGCCGGCAGCTCCCAGCTCGATCTGCTGGGAGGGAATGTCCGGTTAACGTCCCCCCACCCCACTCACCGACTCGTCTACGTTCGCAATTCCGACGGAGGTTGAAAGCTTTGATATCCGTTAGATCTGTCTGTCGGACCGTAATTGGCAAAGGGAGGGGTGGGGGAGCTTATCTGGGAGACAATAGCACGGGACAACAATGGAATTCGCGGCAGTGCCCTCTGCTGCCCACAACGTAGCACAGATTCCACGGCCGACGATAGCAACCTGGGAGCGCATGCCACAGATTCCCACGGTCACCCACGGGAGCCCAATCCGGGCTCGGACCCTGCACGCCAAGCTTCCGAAATCGAAAATGAGATCGTGGGGCGCAATTCCGGGGTGATTTGGTATCAACGTGGCGCGGAGCGGCGTGCGCGGAACATAATGTGTACAACAGATGGCACCATTCGGTGGTGAGCACGACGGGGGATCTGGTTTCGGTCTGGGGGATAAGGACACAACCCACACACGGCAGCAGCATCATCATCATCATGCCGTGCAATTATTCACTCTCCAGGCCACGAAGTGCATTCGACGATTCACACGTATTGCAATCGGCTATCGGGGGAGCAATGCATTTTAAATTATATCATTCATCCGATGCTTGCCTCGAGTTTAATATACAAGGTGGTCCAGATGTCTTACTCACTAACTCCTCTTCTCTCCCTGTGGAGGAGCGTAAGGCCGCAACAAGCCCACGCCACGCCAGACTGTCTTGAGCAACTCTCTCTGCTTCATTCGTGTTCTTTTTGCAGTTGCCATAAAAATGAATGGTGATTTTTTTCCACGGGGTGGGGTTGTTAGCCCCACGCCCAACCCCCAACCTGGGGACCAGGGCTTGGCCATTTCGTCTGTCTTCTACCCTTTGACCAGTCCGGCATGGTTGGACCCAGTGACGGATTATCCTTGCCACAAAAGTAGCTACACATGCTTCGGGCCCTGCACTTTCAAGGGCTAAATGCTTTCAAGTTATAAATTCCGTGTCAGTGATTCTGCACTTGCTCGATTACTATAGTACTATACCGCCTTCAACTTTTTATATTATGTAAAGGGGGGGGGGGGTGATGTGAGTGGTCAATTCGTTGGATGGGTCACAAGACATCTGGGCCACCCTGTGCAATGCAACATCAACATCTTCAAATCAAGATTGAACATCAACATCGTTGAACCTGAGGCAATGCCTGCGTCGTCCGTTCATCGGCCGTTCTCAATTAGCCCTAACCCACAGAGTCTCGCTTCTTTTCTTTTCCACATCGACGAATTTCCTTTCGCTCGCGATGCCAAGCCCACAGGGTTTAACTGGCATCGGGGCAGTTTCACCGGGCCCACGTTTTGTAACCTGCACAGCGGAGCTCAAAAATTTAGCGGCATCTGCGAGTGACCCACGGACGTCGAACAAAATCGCCAGGCTTTTCTGGCAGGGCCAGGAGTCGCCACTGTGCTGCAAGGGCGGTGGGTGGGGGTGGAGAGAGAGGAGAGAGAGGCCGAGCTCAACACCCCCCCCCCCCGGCTATTCTGTAATTGGCGCGGCGTGCGACCGCCGCGAGCCGTGTGGCCACGTGCTCAGCGCGAGCGGGGTGATTGACGCGGGCCCTCGAGTTGGTGACGAACCTGCACCTGATTATAATGTGACGCTGCATGCCTGTCAACCCCTTATCAGTGCCCTGCCTTATTACAGACCAATTCAGACCGTGTTGGTCACCCCGTGCCCCTTGTAAATCTCAACGTTCACCCGACAAAAGTCCCATCACAAGGGAGAAACACAAACGAGTAGACGGACAAGATGCAATGTTTGTGCCCGTATTGAAACGGCTGTACGCCGCATGGACCTGCAAACTCAATTTCCCTCTACAAGTGTACAGGGTTAAACCGTACGGGTTGACAGCTGTGATGTTGCACGCTCCGCCGATAGCCGAAGGTGGCTTTAAAAGAGCGGCATGCCACTTTCGAGATTATTGTCCAGCAAGGGTGCACGCAGACACTGCTCGTCAATCAGTGGCGGGATCCTCCTACGTCCTGCCGAGGACCGGCAATCGCTTGGGCATCACGATGGTTGTAGTTCTTTGTAATTCTATGCGACATGAATATCATATATATTACTCTTTGGTTCTTTCGGTAAAGTCACGTAGAACGAAATAACCTGCAGTCACGAAAGCTTTAAATCAAGATTATATTTATATTGTTTTGTCGTGTGTGTGAGAAATACAGAAAAAGGTGACACCTTCCAGCTATTTCAATTTCGCACGTACAGCACACATATATCTTGCAAACGGTTGATGCTAATATTACACACTTTATTCGTGTAAGCATTCCTGTATGAAGGGTCATAGGACCATAAGGAATAGTCTATGATAATTAGTTTATGATGGTGGATGAAATAGGATAAGAAATACTAGTTTCCAAACGTTGATCGTCTCCCCAGGCCGCGTGGCTCATGATGGTTATAGCCGGTGTGTTTGTGTATATAGGGTTTCAGACAGTGCCGGATGAAGCTAGTGCGGGGCCTGTAGCACATGTTATAAAGGGGCTCTAAATAAAAATAATATTAAAACTAGATTCGAAGCTTTCGTGATTGCAGGAATGATTATTTGGTAAATTAAATAAATAACGGAATAATTATGTAATTTATTTTCTTTCTACGTGACTTTACCAAAAGAACCGAAGAGAATATACATTTTTTTTTGGATGGTAAAGTAATTGCATTTTTATTATTTGCTATAAAGCCAGATAATACGACAAATCGCTAACCTTAAACACCCAGTCGTTTATAAAAGTTTAAGGCGGTATAGTACTATAGTAATTGAGCAAGTGCAGAATCACTCAAACGGAATTGATAGCTTGAAAGCATTTAGCGCAGGGCCCTTGAAAGTGCCGGGCCCGTAGCACGTGTAGCTACTTTTGCTACTAGGATAATCCGGCACTGGTTTCAGATCTGATACCGGCGTCGTGGGAGGTTATGTGACCATACCTCACCACGCTGGTCATTGCGGATTGGTGAAGGGCGGTAGGGGCGGGCAGGCGGTCGGGGGGGGGGGTAGAGCATGTGCCCAGGACTGTATCAGGCGTGACACGCCGCTTACTGACCGGGGCAGGAAATAAACTTCACGTACAGTCGATATAGAAAGGTTGATAGCTACTGATGATAAAGATGTGCACCTTTTTATGCGATAAGTATGTAGAGGTGGTGGTGGCTAAACCACCTCCCTCCCTGCCTCCACCACTGCTACAGGACCTGCTTCAGCCAGGGAGGGCAGCACAGCCAGAGAGGGCAGCACAGCCGGGGAGGGCGATCTGCCCTCTCTGTTCTGCCAAGGAAGCGCGCCGCCACACGCACACACGTGGCAAAGATCCCCGTCATAGCCTTAAAGCAACTGTTGGGGCAAGTGCTGTTTGCGAGCACCTATGAAGGGTGCCGGCACGGCATGTCGGGGTGGGTGGGTGGCTAACACCTCGCCCGGTCAGCCTTTGTCTCCCTCGCGTTGCGTGGTTTAGACACCGCACCAGGTGGTGATTTAAGGCTGAGTCGATCTGGGGGAGGAGGCCCAGGACTCGGTTCAGATGGCCGTCTGTGGTGTGGGTGGCCGTGATCGGGAATCGAACTCGGGTGGCCGGGTTCGTAGCGCAGTGACCTAACAACCTAACCACTGCGCCACCGCTCCCCTCGTGTGGATATCGCACTCATAAAAAGACAACGATCCCCCGAATAGCCGGGACAGACTGTTGGGGCAAGTGCTGTTAGCGAGCACCTATCAAGCTCGGCACGGCCACACGAGGGGGTGGGTGGCCAGCACCACGCCCGGCCGCATTTGTCTCCCCAGTGGCGATATTTACACACCGCACCAGGTACTTAGTTGAGGCTGAGTCGACAATGGAAGGAACAAGTAAGAAAGACCGCACAGAGAATGGCTTAACGACACAAAAGATTTGTGCCAGAAAGAGATGTGGCACTGCTTGAGCATATTGGCACAAGACAAGAGAGGAAAGTGGAACCAAACGACGAAACGTGCAGTGGGACACCTAAGGGGCTGTCTGCCCACATGGATCGTGATGATGATGATCATGTGGTCAAAAATGTGAATGGTGCAAGCAAGGCAGTGGCATTTTGCAAGTTTCCATTCGAAACATTTCACCTGTTTCTTCAGCAAAAAAAAAATCGTCCTTGGGGAAATGTATTACCGTGCTTCGGTGTTGCTCTATGACGATTTGTTCACAGCTGACGTAGAACATCCCTCTGTCAGTGGCTGGGGGAATGGCTCCCATCGCTCTGTCAGCGAGGGGATCCTTCGACCATTCTTCACCGTGCTCGTCAGCGCCGGCTGGAGAAGTTTCAGAGGACCCCCGAAGCAGTTTATGCGTCGCTGGGCACCGATGTCAGTCGTGGAATGGAACCCAGGTCGCCCGGTTCACGGCGCAGCGCGCTTACCTTCTGCGCCGCTACTCTCCGATTGCTTTATAAATTCCAGCATCGCCGAAGATCCACCGTTGTTATTGTCCGCGAGACCCGTGATTTTGACAAACGACCGTTGACCAAAACCATTGGGAGCTGTTCTAAACGTGTAGCCAACCAATGATATATGGCCAGCGTAGATGGAGGAGGGTGATGAAGAAGCAAATCGACTGGTAACATCAAGGAAGGGTGCAGCGGTGGCGTAGGTGGTTAGCGCGCCATGCTTATGAACCCAGCGTTCCGGGTGTAATCTCAGGTCACAGAGAACGTCAGGTGCTGAGCGATGTCTGAACCGATACCGGGGACACTCAACTTCTCCCAACTGCACTGACCGGTGTGGTGAAGTATGCCGAAGAAAGCCCCAATGAATGGCACGATGTGGAGAGGCTTTCACCTTCAGCAGCGAAATTGACCAAGAATTTTTTAAATTATTATCAGTATCAACCTTCAAGCAACGGAGTGGCCGCCGGGCAGATGCTTCGGAAGAGCGGAGGACGTGAGCGGATGGATATCTCAGGCCGCCAACCTTTCGCGAAGA